AAAAAAAAAAAAAAGTTTCCCAAGGAATAAAGAATACTGTCTCTGGGCTGCAACACAGAAATTCTTCCTGAGTAACCAGGCTTATTTATTTTGTTCTTTATTTCCAGAGAACCATAATATAAGCAGTGATAGAAAAATACTAGTATTAACTGAGTGCTAATGCTATTTCATGTACTATTCTTAGGTAGATACACCATATGTGTGTGTGTGTGTGTGCATGTGAGTGTGCAGGTGTGTGTGCATGTGTGTGTGTATATTTCAGCTCTGGCTGTAAAAGCAAAATACCACAGAGAAGCTGACTCAATAATAATGTATTTCTTTAAGGTCTAGAGTCTGGTATACCCAATATATGGTACTGACCATTTTAATTTCCAAAGGGAGAGCTCTTCCTGACTTGCACACAATTGACATTTGCACTGCGTTCTCATACAGAGGAGAGACCTTTCGTGACTCTCATTATTCTTATGAGACCACTAGTCTTCTTATGAAGGCCGTTAGACCACTAGGCCTCCCAGTCATAACCTCATTCCATTTTTATCACCTCTTCACAGGCCCTATTAACAAATGTCGGTTACGCTTACAGTGAATACATTTGGAAGCAAGGCTTCATAATTAAGTCTATAGCAGAGGGGATTTTTTTTTTTTTAAGCACAAGCAAATGTTCTAGTAACTTTTTATATAAAATTAAGAGAATTAGATATAAGCAACTTACATTACTCTATCACTAGGAATCTACAGGATTTTCCTTTATATACTCAAGGTATTGAGTGGCATTTGATAATGTACAAAGCACTCAAACAGATCACAGAAACTATATTAATAGCTACTTTCATTTTATGTATTATCAAATGTGTGCTCAGTAAGATATATTGAATCACACACAGTATATGGGTCTGACAAATAATGCACTGGGATAGAAACTTTTGTCCACAGTGTCTAAGTGTTACAAGCTTAAAAATTCAAAACTTCTCATTCACTGCAAAACAAACAGAAAGGGGAAGAATTTCTAGATGAAACCAATATGTTTAAGCAAATGTGTAGGAAGAAACCAGATACCCAGCTATTCTCATTCTTTTCTTAACTCTGAGAATGTAAATATACCCAAGATTCTTAACAGGATAAATTATAAAGAAATAAACGTTAATTACATTGGATATATCAGAAAGATATGATGATATAAAGATTTCATCAAATTACTTAGCAAGTGATTGTAGGAAAGAATGAAATTCATTACCACAAATTCAGACAAAAACATAAGACTATCATATTTGTTTGTTTCCCCCTGGATGGTGTATCTTTTAATTTCAGAAAATGTTACATTTCCATTTAAGTATTTTTTTT